ATTAAGTAGTGGAATTGCCAATTAACATTAAAAGCTTTTCACATGTTTAGCTTATTGTATTTAATGGGGTTTTTTGGGTTTTTTTAGGTTGTTCATAGAGACCTGAAGCCTAGCAATATTCTTTATGTTGATGAATCTGGTAATCCAGAATCAATTCGAATTTGTGACTTTGGCTTTGCAAAACAACTGCGAGCGGAAAATGGTCTTCTGATGACTCCATGTTACACAGCAAATTTTGTTGCACCAGAGGTAAAACCCAGGATAGTTTATATGCCTTGATATATTTTACTGGGATTTTTTTGCTGGATAGACTTTTTTGTTGTTGTTCTTGTGTAACAAGTAGAATCACTTTGTAAACAGTAAAAATTTGAAATTTTACTGTTTTTCTAGCATAATCAAAGCATTTCCAAGCATTTTTTTCAGAAAAAAAATATTTGTCTCCCTCAGGTTTTAAAGAGGCAAGGTTATGATGCTGCATGTGACATATGGAGCCTTGGTGTTCTACTTTATACCATGCTCACTGGGTAAGATTATAATTTGCTTTGCTGTAGAATACCAAACCAATGCAAACAAAACCAGTAATAAATGTAGGCCCACTATTGCAGATGTTTCTGTCAAAGCACTGATTAATCTCATCTTTGGGGTTGAGAATATGATTTGCTTTCAGTGAAATCCAAGCTTTCAGGGATTGATGTGAAAAAATCTTTGCTTCTAATGTCTCCTCTATTTTAGGGTTTTAATTTCTGCTTAAAGGTGATTTTGCACTAAAAATGTATTGTTTCATGTGAAAATTAAAAGATAGATTAATCAGCATATATATTGAAGAAAATATATGTTGCAAATACTATTCCAGTGCATTAAAGCATGTTTGTGTGCAAAATCCACCCACTGAATGTTTGAAGTGATGCTGTTAGAATATAATAAATGCAATAGAAAGGCATTCAACAGAAATGAATTGTGTAAAAGATAAGGAATTCAACTATAGTACCAGAACTTCAAAACAAAATCTATTTAGCAGATGCAATAGCAACTGTCTTTTTATGCTAGGTTATTCAAATTACCACTTTGGTTGAGAGTTAACATCATCAAATATTTTTGTATTTTAAAATAAATAAGCGACAAACATACTTGGTTTTAAGTATATCTTTTTTGGTTGGGGGCTTCTGATAGCAGCAAGAGTATGTATAGTCAAGCAAGGAAAACTGGTGCACCCTTCTTCCTCTGGCATTAAACCAGCATTCTTTCTCAGACATATTGATTTACAACAGAATGGATTGGCTTAGTACTTCACTAGAATATGAAGCTTAAGGAATACTTTGTGTAATTCAGGAACCAGCAGTATTTGAACTGCTATAGGAAAAATCTGCTTTTCAGACCAGATACAGGGGGAATACGTGCAATCATGTGTTAAGAATAAATTATTTTTTCAGCTGTTTGACTATTTGTTGCCTATAATTATGTTGAACTTGCAATCAGTTTTATAATACTGAGACCCAGGTTATGGAAGTTGCTAACATTGAATTTGTTTGGTTAAATAGCTACACTCCTTTTGCAAATGGTCCTGATGACACCCCAGAGGAGATTTTGGCCCGAATAGGAAGTGGGAAGTTCTCCCTTAGCGGTGGTTATTGGAACAGTGTTTCAGACACAGCTAAGGCAAGTGTATTTGCTTTTTCTCTTGGGGGATCAGGAATGGATTGCAATGTAACATTGTTGATTATAATGTATATGTTATATCACAGACGATTGGCTAAGTTCCACCCATTGTTATATTAAAATACTGATCTAATCCCTTATGTGCTAGAATTTTGTTTCCTGGTTTTGATCTGTTCATGTGTCAGCAGTCACTTGCATGTAGGAGGAAAGAACAGGTGCGACTTACACTGTAGCAGTTAACAGCTGTCCTTAGAAATGTAGTGTATTCTATCAGTGTTCACACACAGAGTTATCCATGGTGAGAAGTGCTTTCCTAAAATTTCATGTGGAAGCATGACATTCAAAAATCACACAAGTAGTCTTAAGTCATGATAAAGAAAACCAATGAGGTAGTACATTTTTGAGAATTCTATTTTTGACAGGAAATAGACTGAACTTCAGTGTGCAATATCCTTTATGCCCCTTCTATATGGATGCTTAAAATGCTAAAATTTTCTGTGTTTAATTGGATACCTTCCTTTTGTGTTACACTGTTAGCATTGCTGGGTGGTTTTTCATTTGTTTTAAACTGACATGATGAACATATTTTTATACTTCTAGAATCTTGTATAGTTTTGAAGTATTAATCTGTTTTAAAGTTGAAGTTCTGCTGTTATTTCCATTGATCTTTGTTGACAGGACCTTGTTTCAAAAATGCTTCATGTTGACCCTCATCAAAGACTGACTGCAGCCCAAGTTCTCAGTCACCCCTGGATAGTTCACTGTGACCAGTTGCCTCAATACCAGCTGAATAGGCAGGATGCTCCCCATTTAGTGAAGGTAAGCTGATACTTTCTCAGCTTGCTGTTTAGCCAAAATTAATGTAAACAAAAGGGTGTTTGTTTATAAGGTTCGGGGTAGCATGTATTTCTTCTAAAAACTGAACAAGTTGTTACGACTGGATGTTGCAATAAGCCATAAAATGAACTTGAAATATGTAATAGGATTTAATGTGAAACCACTTACAAACGATAAATCTAATACATTTGAAAAAAAAAAATTATGTTTTTGTGTTTGAAATCTGTTGGGCTACTGGAAGGCTTAAGTGCTTTTAGAAACCAACCTAAATCATTCTTCTCTGAGTGAAAAATGTCAGGTGACTATAGGGGAGCTGTAAAATTGTTTGCTAACTTTACCGTTTCAGAGGAGAGTACTTGCCAGTAACTGAAGGAAAACAGAATACTTTGTGATCACAGTAAAAGCTGAAGAGAAGTCAAAAGGGCAGGGTTAATTACTATGGTGTCACACTTGTGCACTCTGTCCGAAACAATCTGGAACTTTTTCACTTTGAACAAGCAGAAGAAGATCAAAAATAATTCAAATTCTACTTCTTTGTAGTAGAACCTTGTTTTCAGTCCTACTTTCAAGAATCTCTTGTGTGACATAAAAGGGATCTGAAGAATATAATTAACACTCTCTGAGTCAGCTATTAGAAAGTTCTAGCATCCAAAACACAAGTGGGAAGTGGGGGAGTTCTGATCCCACAGCTCACAACTTTCTAAATTTTTTTTTAATTAATTTTATGTGCTGAATAATGCGGGTGATTTTTAAATATTTTGTTGGAAACTGAAATGGTTATGTAAGTGATAAGCAGAGAGTCTACCAATGGGATTTCATTCCCCAGCTCTTTCCCACAACATAGTGATAGAACTTAATTTGGCAACCTACTTATACCTTCTGGGTTTGACTATAAGCAATGTAAAACTATTTATTACCCTAAAAAACACTCGCTCCTAACACTGCTAGGACTTCAGTAGTATGTTTCTGTTTTGTAGATGAAAATAGACTGAAAGTTGAAACTTGTTCAGAGTTTCTGGCATTTAGCACTGCTGTAGTGTGCATCAGTCACAACATACTCTTACTGTTCTTTTCCCCTCTACCCTATAGGGTGCAATGGCAGCAACTTACTCAGCTTTGAATCGTAATCAGTCACCAGTTTTGGAGCCAGTTGGCCGTTCTACTCTTGCTCAGAGGAGAGGTATTAAAAAAATTACCTCAACAGCCCTGTGAAATGACCTCAACCAGACACTTGGTACCATGGCATAAGATGATAGCACAAATCATGGCGACAGGTAGCACATATCTGACAGATACCTGCAAGCACACTCTGTCCCAGCTGGTACCTATAATGCTGCTGCTCCTGCTGCTGCTACTGCTTTCATCTACTCTCGCTTTAAACTGTTGATGGCAAGTTACTGATCTTACTGGAGCTGCAAATGGAGTGACAAGTGGAGACAATGAAAATTACCACGTTCGCGACTGAGTAAACCAGAAGAATTACAAACGCCACCTCTGTCAAAAATACACTGAATAAAGCACTCTGCACCACATAGCATTATTTTTATAAGGAATATTTTTTTTGTCCCCTAAAATATTCTTTGTTACAGGTCGAGATGGACAGTTTATGTTAAGCACTTAGCTTAAACAATCTGTTTATATTAGCACTATACATTGTGCCATCCAACATTTTGTATGTTTTTGTAAACAGTTCACAAGCAGTACATTTCTGTGCTGTTTTCTTTAATGTATACATGCCTTGTTTTACTTAGATATTATTAATCATTATGACAAGTAAGTCTGATTAAACAGTTCACCTGGATAATCAGTATTGTTGGACAGCTCTAAAAGAAGCCTGACTGTTAAACAGCTATTGAATGTAATACTATGGATAAGTAGTTTTCCTTGCCTGTGTCTTTTCTACATTTCTGTGTTTTTGATGCCACATGTCATGTTATGAAATTTAAACAGTGAATCTCTCACCATACTATATATCCTTTAGGTAATGTAACCCAGAGAAAAGATAACTTGCTCCGTATCTCACTGTCTTTGTTACCCCTCCCCTCCCTTTTACTCTCTCCCATCTAATCTCTGGACTCAGGAATTATTGCTAAATACTTTCTGATAGAGGACATTTCTATATGGTTTATTCTTATAATCCATTGTTAATATTTTATCTGTATTCTATGACTTTTGTTTAAGCTGCAAATGAATTGTTCAGTGAATGAATGTTGGCATTATAGAAGAGAGGCAACATTTGAAGATAAAGCAAAACATATTGGTCGTAATAAGCAGCAACCTGCAAAGAGTAGATTTAAACTGCATTCATTGCAGTTGCAAAACTGATGGATCTAATGTTCTGTCAGTTACTTTCTGATAATTTTAATTGACTTCAAAAGCAAAATGAGGGGCAGGACATAAAGATCTGTTTGATTAGAAAAGGGTCATTCTAATTTACCATGAAAATAGTGTCATCCCAGACAGGTAAGATGAAGCCATTCAGAGGGAACTTTCTCACTTTTCCGCAGATGGAGGTGAGTTGGTAATGAGGGTGGAAGACTCACTTTAAATACTGATACAAACGTTTAATATTCTTGGCCTCTTGGTATCTAAAGTAATTAAAGGCTCATCTTGATGGCTTGTCTTGAAAAGATGAAATTTCCCAAATGAGAAGGGGCACTGGAATGTGTTTGAATACAGTGAGTGTTCCATTCCCCCAAAATTACAGGCTATGTAAAGTTCTTCCAGATATGAAATGACTCTTGGGAATTCTAGCTTTAATAAAATATGGATCTGGGTGAATGGCTGTTGGTGAACAATGCCATTTTGTGTTTTGCATAAGAAGGTATTTTGTTGGCTTAGTGGTATTAACTTTCTTTTACGGTAATTAATTGGCTTATTTCCCTGAAATCATCAGTGGTTTGTTGAAAGGAACAATCATCTTTATGACACCACAGATTTGCTCTGGATGGGAGTGTTTCTTCTGCCAGAATTTTTGAGTTCCTTGGGGAAGTTTCCTTTACTTAGATCTGCAAAGGATCCCAGTTTTATTGCCCTTAAAATTTTGCGAAATATTTAATCCATTATATTATTGTGAAGAAACTGGTTTTATAAACAAGGATTTTTAAATTAGCCTAGATCCCAGAAATTTGAAAACACAGCTCTTCCCAAGCAAACAGTATTTTTCCCTTACTTGGTGCTCTAACATTGAAGACCCTATAGCTGTACAGATGCATCTACCCTTCCTTCAAGGAACATTTTTAAGTAGAGGAAGAAAAATGGGAAAATGCCTTTTTTTTTTTCTTTTTTTCTTTTTTTTTTTTTTTATGTCAGCAGCTCCAGAGGAATTTATTAAAACCTTACCTCTCAAAAAATGTATTTTTCAGCTCTGTGAGCAAATTTAAATCAGGCTTCTCAAAATCTGGAAACTGTACTTTCTGGTGGCTTTTAAGGTGTTAATTAGAAGATTGTTATATCTAGTCAACCAAATGGTTTAAATGCTGTTGAAATAGAAGGATGGCAGTACTTGCCAGTGTGTCAGTAATAACATTTCACTTCAGGAAGGAGTTCCTACTCTGTTCAGTGTGTGTATATAGGTACCTGGCAAAGAACAGACCAAAAAGAGGAAGTGTTAAGCTGCCTCACTATTGGCAATATCCATATTAAAATAATATAAAAATACTTTCAGTAGTTTTATTGTTGCCTTATTTTATTGTCCTGAAGCTCATTAGCCAAATAGTGAAGCAAAGTCAATTCCTGCATTTTATGTATCTACACTCTCAAGTGAGCTGTTAATTTAGTCTAGACTTTACAAATGTTGCTATTAAGTCGTGTATATATATCAGCAGAGGATGAACATTTTAAATTGTAGCAAAAGAGGAAAATTTAGCACGCCCTAAGCTGAATGTGTTGAAGTCTAGATCCACTATATTTTCAAGTTACTTTCTAAACCAAGGTATAAAGGGCCTGCTAAATCAGGGAGGTGTATCTTACAGCCAGGCATGGTTTATGTACCTTACTTCCTGGTTTGGATCCATGTTCATGACTTCCATTTTTTTTTTAATGTTTTTATAGCTGCAGTTATTATAACCTGTAAAGAAATCCACATAATGCTTCTCTGAGTCTCAGCACTTTTCTGTTAGAATGTGAGTTTATGGCACACTGTGTACATGCATTGCTGGACTGCTGCTTGGTCTGCAAAGCATAGCAAGTGACTCAGAGAGTCATAGAGGATAAAAAAAAGAGAACGCAGATACAGGTGAATTTTTCTATGTGTTGACCATGGTTTGTTTTTAATTTTTTTAGTGTGAAATTACCATTTACTGTGCTTGAGAGCATGAGGGAACAGAGGGAAGAGTGAAGTTGCAATACCCATTAAATGCCATCTGTGTCCAGTAATGGCAAAGTTCTGTGTTCATAATCACTATAACATTGAGTAAAACTTAAAAGGAGTTTTTCAAGAAAATAGTTAAAGCTCTTCTCTGAAGAGACAAGGCCATAAGAAAATAGATTTACATGTCTGGGATTTTTGTGTGTGTGTGTGTTTTGCTTTTGTAAATGTGGTGTTACCAACTAAAGCTGTGCTTTTCTATTACTGGAAGGAAAGGATTCAAAGTGTGCTGGCCCTTACTAAGCAGCAGTGGTTAATAGATGAATTTTCACTTATGAAAATGATGTAAATGATTAGCTTTATCTTGATACTCTTGACCTAATCAAAGGGAAGGTGTACTTATGAGGGATGTAATTATTTTGCAACCTAGTTGGGGGGGGGATGTCTACTTAAACAATTTTTAAAAAATTACAAAATCACAGATAAAATATTTTTCTACGATTCTATACAATCATACTTTATACTAGTTTTCTCAGCATGGCATGTAAGTGAGTCTAAGGTACTGTTCCAGGAAATCAGTGGTATTGTACCTTGTTCTAGACCATTACAATAGCATCTGTTAGATGCTTGGCACTGCTGTCATAGAACTGAAATGCTAGTTAAAAAAAAATTAATTGTACTGAATACTTTAAATGATTGTTTTATTCAGAGTCTGATCTAAGAGATGTTCCAATCATGCTATTAATGTGTAATTAAAACTGTTCCAGATGTAACTATGAACAGTTTTGGAAAGTATCATTGCTTGTTTTCCTGTCTAATGGCAGGTTTTGTAGTCTTCAAAAGAAATTGAAATTTCTACTATGAATAAACTTTCAAACATCTTAAAGGGTTGTTTTGTGTAATCATTTGTTCTGACCAGTTACAAAACTCATTGCTTGTTCATCAGTTACTCTGAACTACCTTCACAGCACACTGAGTGTGCTTTGCCAGCCAGAAAGGGTTTGTAAAAAGCAAGTGTCCTGACATTGCAGCATGTTGAAGAAGATAAACATGGAGACAAAGGAAAAACTCCTGTTCCGATGGTGCTTATAGACCTGATACAACATACAAAGACCACACTGCAAGGATATTGTGTTTAAAGACCCTGTCAGGTTCCAGTCAGCTCTAAAGTACCACTTAACGGGAGGCTGCTGTATAACATTTGCTATGCCTGCAGTGCACTGGACACTGAAAATGTGGGCATGTTGGGTAATTAATGCACTTTGTAAACATTTGGAACATAACAGTATATGCAGAAGCACTCCATGCCCATGTAGCAGCTCATACAACTTGGAAGCTTACAGCTGTAATTCTTTTTAACCTTGCAAGGTGGAAAAGATGAGATTTTCAAAGGTTTGCATAGTGTACGAAACATTACAGTAATTGTGATAGAGGATTTGTGAGGACTGTAACCAGAGGTTTTGCTAAGTGTACCAGAAGAAAGGCATCAGGTAACATGGAGAGGTTTGGTAATGGATATGGGGCAAGGGTACTGTGATTTCCTCAGTGAAATTCACACCTGGGATCAGAGGTCTGCATAGCTGTGGCCCTTTGTTCACACAAGTCTTTATGCTGCTTGGCTAAAAACATTTTTAAATTTATTTACAAGTGAACTGGATCATTTGTAAACCTCCAGAAACTCTGCAAAGGCAGAAAGGGGGTCTGCTATACCACAGCTCCTGCTGTCAGCCTTCCTCACCTTCGTACCCTTTGATTTACAGAATCATAGTATAGTTTGGGTTGGAATGGAGCTTGAAAATCATCTGGTTGCAATCCCTGCCGTGGCAGGGACACCTCCCACCAGAGCAGGTTCCTCGGGGCCTCATCCAGCCTTGCCGTGAACACGCCAGAGACGGGGCACGCACAGCTCCTCTGGGCAGCCTGTGCCAGTGCCTCACCACCCGCACAGTAAAGAGTTTCTTTGTAATGTCTCATCTAAACCTACTCTCTCAAGCTGAACGCACTCCTCCTTGTTCCGTCACTACGAACGCCTGTAAATAGGCTTGCCCCACCTTTCCTGGCAGGTACTGCAGGTACTGGAAGGAGTCATCCCTAACACCGCTCCCCCCGAGCGCTGTGCGGTGTGCCGGGGCTGCCTGGGTGCGCACTGCCCGCTCCTCCTCCTGCTGCTTTTCCTGCACTCCACCACAGAACGCCCGGCAGTGCCCAGGCGGGGCCGTTCCCGGGGCCATTCCCGGGGCCGGGACGGGGAGCGGGCTCTGGGCGCGTCCTGCGCTTCTGAAGTCCTCCGGGCCGCGGGGGGCCGCTGTGGCCGAGTCGGCGCAGCGGCCGGAGCCTGCGGGCCGAGGGGCCCTCCCGCCACCCGGCGGGTCCCCGGGCCGGTTCCGCCTGCCGGGCGCGCGTCGGAGGCCGCCGAGGCCCGGGCGGGAGCGGGAGGCCCTGCTCGCGGCTCGCTTGTCACGATCGGCCCTGCCGAGCAGGCGGCCGGGCCCCTCCGTGCCCTCGCTGGGCAGCGCTGCTGCCGCTTCCCTTGTTTCTTACTCCGGAAAGAAACGCAGAAACCGTGAGGGAAAGGGAGCCCAGATTTTAACAGAGGGGCAAGTATGAGCTGCTCTTATGCTCTTGGTGAAGATCATCTAATCCTGTTGCCACGTGTGTGCCTTTTAAAAAGGGCAGCTTCACTTGGAGAGTAAGGTTCCTCTTGAGCATTTCAGGGATTTCAGCAGCACAGTAACTGAAGTTATTCATCTGCTCTTGAAGATTACGTGCATCAGGCTATCCCACCGTTATTTTTGAGGTATTTGGTAGCAGGGATCACAAGGTGAAAATGGCCATCTTGTGAAAATCATTTTGAAGGCTGCTGTCGCTCCAGAGCAACCAGGACAGTTTAAACAGTGGAGAGTCTAATGTTTAATTACTTTGTTACTACTCAGCTAAAAATTTAAACTTAAAAGTAAGGGAAAAAAACAAGACCTGGGTGTGATGCTTAAAACAAGCATAAAAATCTCCATAATAAAAATCTCCATATGTCTGACTCTTGTCACTGACTGTATCTAGAGACAGTAACACCTGCTTTTTACTTCTCCCACTTAATTTAGGCAAAGGAGGTAAAAACAGGCGACGAGGTAAGAATGAGAATGAATCAGAAAAAAGAGAACTGGTCTTCAAAGAAGATGGGCAAGGTGAGTTTTTAACTATAGTATGGCAATGTCCTTGTTTTCAGTCACATTCTGTAAGTGGCAGAAGAGAGAGAGGTATTCTTATTGGGGTTGTATTTGAATTCCAAATGACATATTGAATGTAATAGAAAGACAGTAGAAGTGAAATTTTCAATATCTTCAGTGCTTAAGAATGACGTTTCCCTCTCCTTGACCTTAGTGCATGCTCTGTATAAAATAGAACTTAAATGTTTCCTAGAAACCTCATGATAGCTTTGTGTGAGGGTCTGTGAGCAGCTGGCTTAGCAGATGTGGTTCAGTTTTGCCAGTAATTGTTCCTGGGATGCACAGTCCCACTTTCTGTTCTGTATGGACTCTAACATCTCTTGGCTCCTTCACTGAGCTCCCTGAAGTCACTGATGTGGCAGAGCAGCTCATCTCACTGTTCAGTCCCCTGATGGTTTGGTCCATTCCTTCCTGGGCTGAAGTCTAGCAGTTATTAAAACAGGAGGTGTAAGTGGGATGCTGTCTGGTGAAGTAAGGCACAAGAGAGTTCATGGGGGATGACTGGGATTCCCATCTGCCCTGCCTTGGGTGACACTGAGCTCACCTCCCTTTCAGCTCACTCTGTCTTGTGTGTCACACTCTGGTGGTTGCTCACATAGTGGGAGTGCTTTCCTAGTAACCAATAATCGGTTGGTTTGTTACAAATATGGGAAGGGTACTGAGTTAAATCACTGTAGAAGTGCCACTGAACAAATCTGTGGTATTTTGTGTTGGTTGTAAGCAGAAAAGGAGTTTCTTTTTTGTACATCTGTAACTTAAGATCCTTTACATCTCCCAAGCAAAATCTATTTAATGAAAATGAAACATTATTCTCAGTTATGAACAGTCTCGTGATTCATTGGACTATCTAATTTGTGTGAAGTTCTCCAGTATGTGATGTTTTGTAGCTTGGTAAGGGAGAAGGTGAAGTACAGGGTGAAGAGATTGAGGGTAGGGTTAGAGAGGTGCTTCACAGACCTCAGCTGAAGCCTGCTGTTTGCCTTCCAGCCAGTGTCTGATAAGGGTTATGTCCTTTCAAGGACAGTGGGCTGTTGTCCGCCGAGCCTCTGCAAGAGGGATTCAGAGTCTCGGTGGGTGGCTGTACACAGCATGCAGCTTTCTCCTGCCTCAGTGACAGCACTGAGATGTTGTCCTTTAAGACAGGTGCTGTGCTGTTGTCATATACTTTCATACTCTGAGTGTGACTCAGTAGCTCTGAGGTTTTCTGTAGCAAACATTTGAGAGGGAGCAAAAGGGTGAATGCAACCAAGAAGGAGCAGTATTTGAAAATGTTAACATCAACAGTGATACAAAACTGTGATACATTCAGCAGCCTGTGTGGGTGCTTGAAGCTTCTGTCAGCAGTTCACGTTTGATAAAATATTACAGCAGATTTGGGTTACAGTAGAAAAGTTATTGGTTGTGTCTTGAAGCTGGATTTGATCAGAATTTTTGCTCTGTGGCACTTTGGGATGTGACTTAGTGGTGGACTTAACCATGCTGGGTTAATGGTTGTATGTTGATCCTAAAGATTTTTTCCAGCTTAAATGATTCTGTGTTTCTGCTACCATCTCTTGCAGAATATGCCCAGGTGATCAAGATGTTAGGCAATGGAAGACTGGAGGCATTATGTTTTGATGGTGTGAAGAGGTTATGTCATATTAGAGGGAAGCTAAGAAAAAAGGTAATTCTGAAGCATTGCAATAGGAAACAGTGATGTTATGCACGATATGCAATTGTAAAAATTTACCTTATAGTAATGTAGGTTGTTAAAAAAATGACTATTTCTACTGCACTTAATATTTTAAACTACTTTTTTTAATTGTAAACTAGTCTGTCCTCCTGACACTAGAATAGGCAGTCTTTGGCTCTTGGGTGAAGCTCACAGTTGAAGGGCTGCCTTTCCATGTGCATATTTCAGGGGAAGGTTTGTTCTGCTGCTTATGAAATACAAGCTTTTCATATTCTAGAAAATTATACATATATAAAATAATAAAAATCTCCCTAATTGCAGATGGGGAGCTTGGTGACTATTTAGAAAATACACCTCCAATGCCATTGTTTCATTGTCCACTTCATCAATGCCCAAAATATTTCTGTTGAAAGCTAATCTGCAAAGATTTGTACCTTCAGGGATGTCAGGTGTTAAGTGTTTGCATTCTTAACTTTGCCATCTTCAGATGGTGTCCCCTCTGGCCCTTGTCAGGTGTTACATCTTCCTGTCCTCTGCTGGTATATGGAAAGGAGAAGGTCCCTCAGTGTGTTTCCAATGAAAGCAGACATTCTGTCTTCATTCTGGATTGTTCCATTTTTTGGACAGCACTGAATGCACGTGTCTTGGGATCAGTGTGAGCAGTGCTATAGCTGCCTGCAAGAAGCTGTTGAAGCTAGTGGAGAATGTGCATAAATAAGCACTAAGTGCTGCAGAATTAATTTCTTGCTACAAAAAGCACCATTTACTTATTCCTTATGTTTAAAATAAAGGAAATTCCAACTGAAATTAGTTTCAATCTCCAAAAAATCAAGCGGATGTGGGATAGAACCCACATAGAACCACCCTGTGCATTTAAAAGCATGTCCTCTTCTGCAGATTTCTGTTTAACATAGTTTGTAGAAACAACTCAGTTCATTTTCTTGTGCTCTTCCCTGTTCTTGTCTGTCATCCCCTTCATCAGGTTTTCTTTAATTTTTGCCCTTGAGGAGCTCAGTTCACAGAATTCATGACTGATGCCTTGATGCAGTCTTTCTGTTTTCTCAGATATTAAGGCTTAATAAACACCCTCTTGGATAGAAGCTCTTCAAAGAACTTTGATTACCCTGTAATAGCTCCATAACATGTAAAAATAACTATGAGTATTTATGACAGTGGATTTGCTATTAAAACATTAAATTGTATATTTCTAGCATACTGGTTAGAAAATGAAGGTGGTGGCTGTAGCGAAAGGTTTATGTCTCTCCGTAAAGCTAAATGTGCAGTTTGGTTCTTGTGTTATACAACAGAAGTTGAATTTCTTTAACACATGTTTTCTCCTTCAGGTCTGGATAAATACATCTGATATTATATTGATTGGCTTAAGAGACTACCAGGTAAAAATTCAGTATAATATGCCACTATAAGGAGTATCTTACAAGTAGCTTTATTTGCTGTTAAATTGCAGCAGGTGTTGTGAGGAAATTCCTGTCTAACTTTGCATTTGTATTTAGTTATGCTAAATCATGATTTTTAGTTTCCTTGTGCTACAGGAAGGTTGTAATGAGTAGACAAATTCTGGTTTGACTTGTTCTTCTAAATTGCACCCTGAGACTTTGTGAGTGAAGGTGCTTACTGTCATCAAGCTTGACCTGGTTTTTTTCTAGATGTAGCTGTTTGGTGCTTGCATCCTGTGGTAAAGAAGGAGATAAGTCAAGTACCAAACATTTTATTGTGATAATTAGAATTGTTGGTAATGAGAATTTTGGGTCCTTGATGTTTAGGCTTTTACCTGAAGAGGCAAATTCATCAGTAATTAGTCTGTACTAAAATTTCCAAAAATGGAGTGACGTAACTTTACGTAATATAGACAGTAATGGGAAACAGTTGCCAGGTCTTCATTAGGTGAATGCCTTTCATGAATGTTAGTGTTGTCAGTTGTTGAAGATAGATTCTGCTTCTGAAATGTGCATTAGGTTTATAAAACATTTAAGATACTGTCACTTACTGTATATAATAAAGTACTTAAAACTAGGAATTTTTCGGTTTTGACTTTGCCAATGGAAATACAGGTTGGATATTAGGAAGAAGTTTTTTATGGAAAGAGTGATAAAGTACTGGAATGAGCTGCCCAGGGAGGTGGTGGAGTCGCCATCCCTGGATGCGTTTAAAAAAAAAACTGGATGTAGCACTCAGTGCCATGGTTTAGTTGAGGTGTTAGGGCATGGGTTAGACTCAATGATCTTTAAGGTCTCTTCCAACCTAGTGATTCTGTGATTCCTGATTGACCATCAACACCTCACTGTGTGTATTGTCTGAAAAAAGGTTAATTTCAAAGGCATGAAACTGAACTTGTCAAGTTGTTGAGTACTCAGCATTTCTCATTTGTCTCAAATTCTCTTTTGTCTTGTTGCCCAGGGAAGTTGTGGATGCCCCATCCCTGGCAGTGTCCAATGCCAGATTGAGCGCCCTGGTCTCATGGAAGGTGTCCCTGCCCTTGGCAGGGGGTTGGAAGTAGATGATCTTTAAGGTCTCTTCCTATCCAAACCATTCTGTGAATCTATAAATTCCTTGTAATGAGGGATAATTAAGCTATCACTCAGAAGAAATGAAAATACTCCAGTGTGTTTACTTCATATTTAAATGAACTGGAGGGGAAGGAAGAACAAGATATTCTTTTATAAATATTATAGGTGTTAATCCACTGTAAATAGTATAGTTATTGTAAATAATGCAGTCTGCTGAAATTAATAGTTTTATTTTTCCTTCATAGATGACTAATGTGTTCTAATAAATTCTTATTTAGGATAACAAGGCTGATGTTATTCTAAAATACAATGCAGATGAAGCCAGAAGCCTGAAAGCATATGGGGAGCTTCCAGAACATGGTAAGAATCTTTTCACTTCAAACTGGAAGTTCATGTTGGATAAGAATACTCAGTCTGTCTTGGCACAGTGTGAGTGCACTCCTTAACCTCTCTAAATTCCTTCATAGCTAAAATCAATGAAACAGACACATTTGGTCCTGGAGATGATGATGAAATCCAGTTTGATGATATTGGAGATGATGACGAAGATATTGATGATGTAAGTAGTAAATGTGTATTTTTATAATATGTTTGAAGCTCTCATCTTTGGCAATAAGCTGCTGCTGTTAGTTCTACAGCAAGGAATACTTGGGTGTTCAGGATAGCTTTGCTCTTCAGGGATTGCCTCAGGAAGTGGTGTGGTCCATTCACGTGCCAGCTTTCTGTCCTCTCTCCTGTCCTACAGTCATTCCTGCACTGGCCTCTAAACACATGGCACAGTTGGTGTCACGCTGCTAAAACACCCACGGAGAGCAGTCTGAAGGTGCCTAAAAGAAAATCAATTGTTTGACACCTGCCAGTTCCTCAAGGTTTAACAGCTTTGCTGTCCCACCAGAACTGCATCAATAATTAAGGGATTTGGTTTTTAAAAAAACAAGAGTTTTAAAGCTCTATATTTGTTTACATAAAAACTCCAAAAAGCTACATCCTAGTAGTTTTTCTAAAGTTAACCATAATCGTGACTGTCATAGTCACTTGTGTTACTGCTTACCATTAAACTGTAGTAATTGGTCATGCACACTCTGAAATTATAGTGGTAAAATTGTTACAACTCAAATTTTATAGTAAATTGCAGAAGTATTATCTGCTGTGCAATGCAGTTGATGCACTTTAATTTACAGCTGAGAGATGAATGTGTGCAGGGTCAGCTGGCTGAGAGGATAAGTGGTAACTGAGTGAGCCAGTGAGTTAACTTAATTGGATAGACTGTTCTAAGAATACTATTATGCTTTAATTCTTCATCTTTTTAGTCCTCTCTCTCAGTTGATAATATGACTAATTCTTCTAAAATGCTTCCATTATTCTGACTTTTTTGAGGTTATCAATATATGATCAAGTATTTTAAAAATACCGAAATGCTGAGGAATTTTTCTTCAGACTTCAGAAAATTTCACTTTGGGCCTATCAGTGGTTGAGCTTACTGAAGATTGAGCTCGTTGAAGCTAGAAAAACTAGTACTGCATGCTTTTAATAAAGAGGCTGTTGTAAAACATCAAAGAGATAAGTAGCTGTAGGACAAATTTGCAAACTAATGGATCTGTATGTGGGGTTAAGTGAGCAGTTATGGTTGTTTTTGAGCTTTTGGCAGCTCTTCAATAAAATATTAATATCACGCTTTAAGAAAGTAAAAGATACAAAGAAAAGATGTGAGTAACCTCTCTGAGGATCACCATCATATATCTGGAATGAAGTGCAGTTCCAAGGTCATTGTTAACAGGAGGAACTTGGTGGAGCCTTTCCTTTGTTTTTTGTATCAGAAGGACGATTAGAAAGTCACTGCTTAGGGAAGTGACTCTCAAATTTGGTTTTATTTTTGACAATCATGGGCTGGTTTATGGCTGTTCTAGTGATGTATAATTGTGTTGCAGCTACTGTGGTTATGCAGAATTGCTCACCTGCATGACCAATAGTATTGTCACAGGGCTGGTGGGCACAAAAGCAGGGAGTAATTGTTCATGTGTTAAGAAAACAGGGCATGAGCTGAGGCAAAACAGCTAAAACTGTGCTAAGTTCAGGAATTCTCCTGTTGAACTGTAAAAATAAGTTTTTAAAAGAGTTGCTTGATGAAAAATACACTTGGATGAAATACATGGTGTGGTGTTCTTGCTTTTCAGATCTAATTTGGAACAGAGGTTTACATTCCAACTTTTTTCCTCCAAGGATTGTTCTGCATTGATACTTCGATTATTTCTTGGGTGACGTCCCTTACTTTTAAGAAGACTGAAAATTCTCAGTAAAGAGTGTAGTTTGTTACATCAAAAGGATTTATTTTCAATGTTTGTTTTAAAGTATTTATATTTCTTTAGAAATGGATAACGCTGGATTATCACAAAGGTTCAATGACATGCCACAAATATTTTGTCTCTTCACCAATTAGAGCTTTTATCTCTGGATGTAAGTGAGATACAGTGACATGGGCTGTAAAAGACTGCATTTTTCCCTCTTCTGCTTTCATCACTACAATTCCAGTTAACTTGTATTTTGAAATAAAAATTGTTTACCCTGTAATTATCATGAATTTTGATTAAAGGCAAATAACCCAGTTCAGATTAGTATCAAATCATACTATGCAGTGTCTGTCCTCATACCCCTTGCCTTGACGTTAACTTTAAAAAAGATTTTGATAATATGAGAGGAAGGCAGAAATCTGCATTTAAACTCACAATGCATGATGAATCTGCTTTTCGTGTCTAGTAGCATGCTGCTATTTTTATACTGATTTTGATAATTAAAAACACTCATTATTTCAAAGATGTCAATTTTCCATGGTGGAGGGAGGGGTGGGAGAGGAGTAAAGATGAACAGTGAGCAGCATCTCAAATTTGCAATTTTTTGGAAACTGCGGTTGGTGCTGTGGCCGAGCTGCAGCTGCAGACGATGAGCACTGGGTGGCACCCGACTGAACAGGGAGACACAAATGCAAAGCCTTCACAGTGGGGTTTGTACTGAAAAATGCATAAAATAGGTTTTCCCCAAAGTAAATGCTTAACATTCTTGATATGTTAAACATGTAGAATATTTTTACATTATATAAAAGGTTATGTTAAGAGTAGAGTTTTATTTTAATCTGAAATTCCATTCATTGTAAGGTGCAACATAAAAGCTTATGTGAACTTCGAGTAACAATATAAATAAGAAAATAAGTTTGTGTCAAAAGTAGAAAGAATCTTTTCATCCAGAATAAATCAGTGAAACAGACTACTGGAAAGATTCTTGTCCACCTTCAGACTGGATGAGTCAGTTGAGAAACTGAATAAAGACTAACATCATCATGCAAATATTATTTTGTGGTAGCCTTAGTGTCTTTGTCTTTAATAATGTATTTAACAACTCTGAAAGCAGGTTAATGGAAAAATTCCTTTTGTGCCATAAAGATCTGATTCTTGACACTTGTATTCCTTCTACAGTCTTTTTGGAATGATGTAAAGTGACTACCCCAATAGATAAAAACAAAATGGCTTTAAATACAGAGTGGCCTCTTTGCTTTATATGTACTTTTAAGAAGATTTAAACATCAAGAGCTTTTGTAAAAATGTCTTCTCTTACTTTTTCTTTCATGATAGTGTCTATTTTCCTTACCTGGATCAGGTACCCTGCTCTAGGAAGAACATTTTCTTAGTATTAAGTAATTATTTAATATATTTTAACTATTTGTTGTAAAAAGTTGGTGTGTATTGAGAGGAGGATACCTCCAATACAGCATTCTTACTCAACTGATCGTAAATGTATCAATTTACTGTTTTTGTATGTCTATAAGGTTCAATTGTGAAGGAACATAAATGGTGTCATGTTTCTGAATAAGGCTTATAAACCACTCCTAAGCTCATTGGTTTCCTGATTGTATTCTGCAGGCTCAGCAGCTCTGAAAATGGTTAAAAGCTCTCAAAGTTCCTGAGATCCAAGTGCAGAAGGTGTCTGTCCTTTCAGTTGTGCTGGCAGGAAGGTTAGCGATTAAATTGCCGAAAACATGTACTGAAGATTCAGGTATCATGGGTACTGTACTTTCCAGAGCTGATCTTCTGTACGTGAAATGTGAGTGCGTGGTCAGTGGCAAGGGGAAACACGTAGGCACTGCTGCTGTGGGGAGCCTGCGGTGCTCAGTGTAACACAGATTTCAGCTGTGGGTCAAAGATGGAACTGTTCCTGTCAGAATCGGTTGTGGTTTGCCCTGAGGTTCCTTCCAGTCTTCATTGCTCCCAGGTTCATGTCTGGCTTCACCTAAACTGCAGATTTTAAGGAAATTTCTTACTTAACTCTTAATTTCTTAGTGCACCAGCTTAACAGCCTTAGGTTTCTACTCATAAGCTGGGATGTGTTGCTTTTGTGAGAACCCTTGGTCACCTTGTTTCTGTCCTCTGCTAAAGCTCTCTTCACAGTCCAATCTAGGCAGCTTGGTATCATTCCTGTTGCCTTTTTTTTTCCTTTGGGGCTGGAAAAAGAATCTTGCACAAGAAGCTGTCTTTCCCATGTCTCCATTCAGAGAGCAGTGGTAGAATAGCAGCTGCCAGCTAGAGCATTGCAAGGTTGCTGACTCCAAAGCTGTGAAAGGCACTCCGTCTGTAAAAGTAATTCCTAGAAAAAATTTTAATTATTCTTGTGTGAGAATTGCAGCTGGCTTTTTCCCTGGAGTGCAAAATTGAAAGCAGGGATACAAAAATTACTCTTCCACAGCTAAAATACAAACTTTGTATTCTGTTTCCCACTTCAAGGTTTTCGCTGTGATTAACATTTTGAAAAATTATTTTTGTCCATTGTTCCAAATCTTGTCTCTTCACCCTACAACAGGGGCAACTGTACATTTGCTTGTACATTTGCTAATGCTTTTCCACCCTAATCCTTAGATACAATCCAGACACAAGAACTGAAAAAAGTGTATGAGAAACAGCCTCTCCTTCCCTTCTCCAAAGGAGGAGCAGGTAACCCATGACTGCTGAGCTCTGTGCCATTTATTTGTTACTGCTCATAGGTTGTGTCATGGCTGTGCTCTGCGTGTGCCAGCATGCACATCTGAGGTACTGTGTGCTGGTGCCATGCAGATATGTGGTACGTGCCATAAATCTCGTGTATGTGGTACCATATTATACACACACACTCTTAAATTAGTGTATTATACACACTAATCTTAAATTAGTGTACAGATAGAACCTGCAGAGGTTAGGCTGACACGGGGTTGCTTTGTCCTCTGGGTGATGTCCATGAATGTCAGTGAGCTGATGACCAAGGCTGGCGGGTTGCTCTGTGCGGTATCCAGCCGCACTCCACAGGTTCTTCATGATGAACTGGTAGGACTGGTGGCATCTCCAAGTGTGAAATAATGCTGGGACTGCTGCTCCCTGAGACCCTCTGGCCATGAGGTAAATCCTGCACTCAGGTGAATCAGGGTGTCAACTGTTCCTGCAGTTGAGCGAGTTCCAATCTAAACCATAATTATTTGCTGTTACTGGATATGAGTATCAGGGGACTTGAGTTTCCCTATGGTTCCCTGGAAGACTCAAACCTAGCTTTTCATCTGTGGACACTGTGCTATCCTATAGGCAGGTTGACTGCTTCGTAGAAGAAGACTTAAAATTAAATGTAGCTTTTTGGAAGATGTGTGGGAAGAGGGAAGTATTATCTGAAATAATGTTATACTGTGAGTGCAGCTTTATTTATCCCTTTAAACTTGAGGCCCATGGCTGGCTTTTCTGCAGGTAGCTGTTGGCAATGCTTTCTCATTTTGTTGCAAAAATGAGTCTTCAGAATTTACTTCTTGGGCTGTGATTGCCCTTCATTTTGGAGAGGGAGAGAAGTGAGGGAGTATGCCTTGGCTTCGTTACATTTTTAATCACAGCAAGCAAGAGTCAGAGTTCCCATTGATTAATTCATGTTATAGCTTGTGCTATCTTGCCCATCAGATTGAATGCTGGAGCTCAACATTGTGATTATAAAATGCAATCACAACCAAATAAAGAGGCAAAGTGAAAACTATGAGTACCTTTATTTAGTAATTGCAGCTAGTTTAGTGGAACAAAAAATACTTTCAAAAAATGCACAGATGAGACTGTTCTTCATTTTTTTGTGTTTGTGGAGAGGACACTTGCACAGCAGTTTTATTTATATCCAGGCTGCCAGCTCAAGGAAGGAAAGCTTCAGCAGAAGCTGACAGAAATTTGGGGCCTCTTACTGCATTACTTACTTAGCTGGAAATTCTCTTTTGAAGCCCTCTCACTGTGTTTTGTAGGCATTCATTTTTCCCTCTTGCAATAGTGGGTGGCTTGTTGTTGTGTGTCTAGTCTGTGGTGGTGTAGGAGTCTGTTCTGTGGTCACCAGCACCTGTACGCCTTAATCAGGCCTACTCTTCATGATCGTTAAATTAATGAATTTTATTCCCAGTTGAAGATGATCAGCTAAATGCCTTTGTGTGCTTGGCCTCTGGAGGGAGCAGACAAACAAAAAACCAAACAGACCTGGACATACAGGAGCAAGCAGGGTGCCTCAGCATCTCAGTAGGAAGTTTCTAGTCCAGGCTTTCAGGGACTCTGAGGTGCCCATGTCTGCAGTAAGTATTGCCAGCAATGAAAATATACTTGAGGTTTTTCAGGGTTTTCAAAGTAGGTCACCTTCTTCCTAGAGAAGGAGCTGATTGAAGCACGTTGGTATGGGCTTAGGCACACCTCTGACACTGGCAGCAGCACACAACAGATACTGCTGTTGGCAGCTGGAGTAAATACAGCCAAGAGCAGCAGAAATACTGAAGGATCTCCATGGGAAACCTAGAACTGTGTAGGTTACATATGTTCCACTATCAGTGGTGCTGGCTGTCAGGGAGGATTCAGCCTTGTGACAGGTCCTCAGGACAGTGACAGGACACTGTGGGGGCTGTGTTAACCTCAGTGCTTGGAGAGGAAAGCTGAGTGCTGCACAGGGCTTGAGGAAACAGCTTCTGACTTACAAGACTTTGAAACTAACTGTGGCAGACAGTGGTGGAGGATGGAGAAAGGAGCATTAATGGGGTTTCTGAGAAAATCTCGACAAAAGACAATTTTAGTCTTTTGCTGCCTGACCCAGTAGATTTTTCCACCCTGCTCATGAAGATGTACAGAGAAACTGCAGTGATTAAAGCTGTAGTCTTCAAGACTTGTCAAGAAGCCCAAGACTGAAAAGGTGTGGAAGACCTTGCTGCCTTTTTCCCCACTGGACAGTGACTATCCAACTTGCCTTGACAGGTTGCTCTGGAACACATTGGGATGTTAATAATGAGCTGGTGCAGCAGTGGCTGACCAGAGGGAGTCTTGCAACAGCTCTGACACAGGGACCTTTTTGTCCTGAACAAGTGACAATATGCAGCTAGATCATAAGCTTTGCTGAAAATAGCAGAAGTAGCCAGTGCTAAGTAACTGTGTGATGGAATATACAGAGATGGACCTTCAGATCTGATTCTGGCAGCCCTGTTAGTTGAAAGCATCTTTAAAAATGTCCTAAGACTCACTGGTGTGTTGTCCAGTGTTCCTGTATTGCTCTTGAGTGACTGGGTCCCAAGGAGTGGGCACCTGTATCTCGCTGCGGTTGTCAGCTGCATCCCTTTAATAGCAGCTTATATCAGTTCCAGCTTGGTAATGTGTCTGGATTGCTGATGTTAACCAGAGTATGGGTGAGTGAGCAGAAACCTCTTCCCAAAACAGGGCACCAGTTTCTCAGAGGTGTTGGAAATGTGCAACAGTTTAGGATTGTTTCATAAAAAGTGTGGGTGTGTGCCACCTGTAAGTGGAACAAATACTGTTACTGGCACCAACTAGTGAAACGGTTGCTGAAAAGTGGAAAAAGCTCGTGCTTTTTTCTATTAAATTGTGCTTCAATCCTCAACAACTCTCCTCTCTGCCCCTCCTCTCCCCAGTTTGAATTGATGCTATCATATTGCCAGGTGTATGCTTTGTCCACAAATGTGGAAAGAGTGATCTCAGGCTTCATGAAAGGTTTTAAACTAAACAGATGTAAAGCTACTGTTTAGAACCACAAAAGTCTAGGTTAACTGTAATATTTAGTAAAGGATAATACAGAAAATAATGTATGGTTACAAAGAAAGAGAACATAATATAGCCAGTAGATGATTGTGTCTATTTACAGGCAGTTTAGGTTAACCTATCAATAGTTACTTACATAAGCAAATGTTGGAGAATCAAAAAACACTGAAAATACTGTGTCTGGTCCAGAACATGGGGAGGCATTTAGAGGAAACAGCTTAAGTGCCAAGTAGCCAATAACTTTATATTGAGAAAACAGCATGAGTGTTTCTGATTACTTGCATAGATTGACATCTAAATCAATTACAAAAATAACAGGGGAAAGGAAGGAGAGTATGACACCTAATTGTTTCCTTCGTTATTACCCAAGCCTCCCTTATTAATGGTTTTCAAAATATTATTTACTCTTGAACAGGTTTTGGGGATTTGTTTTGATGAGTGCATGCCTAAAGAGGGTAAGCTGTG